TCAGCGCCGTGAAGCTCAATAATTATTGAGTGGTATTTGCTTGCTCTGGTAACTCCCACAAGTGATGAGTGGCACCTCGGTTCTAAATTGGTCCCGCCGGGCCCAAAGCAATGGAAGTTGCCGACGCACTCCAAAATAAATCCCTTGGCGTCAAGGTGTTTAAGGTCCAATCAATAGGACCGTCGATGTGGCGCAGTCCCGAATGGTCCCAATAGTGTCAAGGACCGACACCAAGGGTTCCACAATGCCAAAACGTCAAGGACTTGCGCCGTTCTTGTTACAAAAAAATTCCCCTTGTGTCGTACCGCCACAAGTTTGCACCGGCGTTTGCCTTGAGCATGTGCCGCAATCGGCACCTCCTTCGGACCACGACGACACACTTGGAATGCCACACAAAATTAATTGGTGCTACCGCCTTGAACCGCCAACAAGCGGATAAGCGATATCGTCGCCTCGTCGCGCCGCAACCCGAGATCCTCGCTTCCAAAATAAAAGACACCGCCTCAGTGTCAAAAACCAGGCCCAACGGCGGTCCCACGACACTCTCACAAAATTATCTCGACGCCCACGTACGACAAGGCTGGTAACGCTCCTCCGCATGTGGACGTAGTCTTGCCGCTTGATTACTCCGGTAGCATGCTCTCTCACGTCGGCCACGTCCAAGCTTAAAAATAATAAAATCCGACCCTCGGCCGAAGCTAAGTCCAAAACGCCGCTCCCTTGAGTCTTGGAGGTGAGTTCCCGCTCCAACGGAGTGGCCCCTAGCACATGTGTCGCAGGTCCGGTACCAGCCTCAAGGTGGTAGCAAGGTGCCTTCACCTTGTGGCTATGGTGGCTCCTCCTCCTTCTCTTGGCTCCAACAACTCCTCTAGTAGATTCCCAGCAGCACTCCCTAAGCACTCCTGCAACTCACAAATGCCTTAGAGTGTGCGACCACTCCTACGGCACGTGCTCCTTGTGTGGCAACTTCTGGGCATTGCCTGTTTTTATAGTCGAGTTGGAGAGTGTGCCTCGACACTCTAGCCCTTAGACAATAATTCGAGGTGGAGAGTGTGCCTCGACACTCTAGCCCCTAGGCAATAATTCGAGATGGCCCTGGACCCTCGATTTTTTGTGAGATCGACGGTGTGACGTTGTCGCACCGCAGCCGCACACTTAGTGCAACTGACTTTGACTATTCCTCCTTTCTCTCGTTTTTTATCTATTCAGGGTTAGTTCAAATAGTCATCTCGTAATTCTCACTAGACGGCTTCCACTGTCTCATTTCTGAAACAATTTTTCTTTTATTTTTCTGACCATTATTGTAGGAGTTATGAGTTTTTAAAGTTTGACGTACCTAGCTATTTTTCCCAGTGCTGGTATGTCGGGGAAAGGCTGGACTTAGTTGCCTATTCAGCCTCCCTCTTCCTATTCCTTTGGTGGATGCCCGGCCATGATCCACTCATCTCAATGGCGGGAACCACACCATAATTCCTTTTGGCCCCCCTCCCATGTGGTAGTGTCTTTTCCCGACACTCAACCCCACCCCCAGGATCAGAAAGATCTCATGTTGGGGGTGCTAAGTCTGCAAGGAGCCCATGATGGCTCAGCTGAGGCCAAAGGGGAGGGGTCATCATGACCATTTCTACCCCAGCCGCAACCATGGCCTTCACTGTGGCCCTTGCAAGACGAGAGTGAATCTTCTGCTAGGACACGGTAAAATGCGCCCCCCATCCCCTCTTTCAGACTATTCTGAAGTCTGAATGAACCTTTCCGCAGGTTCGGGAAGGTGCATAGCCTTAGTGGTACCAGCAGCCACAGGAAAACCCGTGGGTGTGGGGACATGTTTTTCCTTAGGGCGTAACCCTACCTAGTGTGCAAAAGGGGAGTGAATCTTCTGCTAGAACACGGGGAGATACACTCCCACCGATATGGGCGGCCATAGGAAAACGCGAATGACTAACAATGAAAATCATAGAAAAAAACAAACAGAGATCCGATTAAAACGGGTCCCGTTGCAGCCCTGCTGTGTCAAAGTTCTGCGCGTCGTTTTCCCACGCGCCATCTGGTATTTCTTAGTTTGTCTGTTTTCTTTTTGTTTTTCTTTTTGTCGTTTTAGTTTATGCTTTTCTCATATCTTCTTCCTTTAACGAGCTTTTTCCTCTGCTATCCCACGGACCGCGGTTCAAACCCCTGTAGCGCGGTTACAATTTAGGAAATTTTGAATTGCTTTTTCTTCTTAGTTTTGTTTTCGCTCTCCTTTGTTCCGCGTGCTATGGCTTGAACCCTCCCCTGCTTCCACGCGATCCACATCAGAGGAAACATTTTCGAGTTGTTCAGTATTGCGGAAGTTCGAGTCGCGCGGAGAGCCTTGGCCGCGGGATTCCCTAGATCGTGCGGCGGATTCAATGCTCGCCTTTGCCAGGTGAACTCGTGTTGCGCCCTGCCTTTGTGCAAAGAAAAGATGTTAGTCCACTGGTTCGGGCGCGAGTGGGCTCGATCCATGCGCCAGACGTGTATCAATCCGCCCATGAAACCTATTGGGCTAGGCCTTGCCACGGTGTAAGGGGGAGCGCTGCCGATATTTGTCTTGGCAGGCGCGGTGCTCCGCCATTACTGCCGAGGTGTCACCCCCTCGTACTCCATGGTCCTACTCAAAAGAAAAAGGGAGCTAGCCCGGCGATCGGAGGCAGTGGGAATCGATCCATATGTCTCCTACTTGCCATGCTACCTTTGAACCTACTGGGCTAGCTCCTACCACTGTATATGGAGGGGCTCTACCGGTATATGAAGTAATAAGCGAGGTGCCCCGCCTGCATTTTCGCTTCGCCTTTTCCTCGTGCTCCCATTTTCCTCTTACCTGCGGCTTCTCCTTATGTCGCCACACTACTTGACTAGCCCAACCAGGTAGTAGGGTGAGTACGTATGACGCAAACGCGGGGTTAAGCTTTTACCGGTAGTTTTTCCTAGATAATTTTTTAACTTCAGCCCTTAGCTTTCCCCGTCATCGCACCGTTCCGAGCCATTGTCCGAAGCATTCGTTTTCAACTATTGGGCTCTGAATCGCGCGGCCGATTCCTTTTAGGTTGTCGCGCATTGTCCTAGTGGTAGAAACGTTGGGAAATGATTGATCCCGACGCGCCTACCTTCACGGCTTCCTGTCATATTACTTGGATACCCGCTTAGCCTAGCTAAATGGCATGACGCACACACATGGCGTAGGAGCAGGGCTGAATCTTGTAGGAATTGTGGTAAGGTAGGTCCTCTTCAATAACCCTTTCATATAGGCCTTTAATCCGAGCGTCGCCTTTGCAGTCGTGCTTCAAGCATTTCTAACGTTGGTCTTTTTCCTTCGATGGACCCTGAATTGCGCGGCCGATGGGCCGCGCGGCAACCTTTTGTTTAGGTTGCCGCACATTGCTTCGATGGTGGGGGCGAAGGGGAATGGTAGCCCCGATGTCCTTGTCATTGCGGCTTCCTTCCTTTAGTAGTTTCCGTCGCGATATGTCTTCGTAGCGTCAACTGCCCTATCTACAACCACTTGGGTGTCCAACCCTAGAGTCTGAGTAACAGATTTTGAAAAGACAGACGAGGGGTCAATACCCGATAAGAAAAGAAATGTAAATATGTACAGGGGGTTGGGATACCCATGAAATTTTTTGCCGCGCCGCGGCGGATTATCTTTACTTTATCTTTTACTCGCTTACCGACACCCCGTCAGCTTATGGATAGAACGGCGCCTTCCCGCGAGTCGTCAAAACGCTGGTAGATACCCTTGTAAGGGTTCCTGCCCCGACAGTCATCCCAGACCCTATTAAACGACGTCCTCGTCGTTTAGGATTTATACATAGGTAAATTATTTTGCATGCGCCTTAACGTTTCCAATCATACTAGTAGCAAGGTCTCTCAAAGCACGCATGTCCCTCATCCTAAGAGACGACCCATTTTAAATTCAAACATGCTTTCAGAATTTCAGAACCAAACTTGATTCAACCTCCAGAAGCACAAAATTTACATGAACGGTACCAGATTCAGCCTTTAGAAGCATAAAACCAATTGAAAGTGTCTGTGGATGAAACCAAATTTAGCCCTCGGCAGTCCAAGACACAGTCTTCTCATGATTTACTGGGTTCAGCCCCCAGTCAGTCTCAAACAGTTACTGAAATGACACCAGATTCAGCCTCTGGTTAGCCAAAAATTTTGAACTTGGAATAGTGTCCAGATTCAGCCTCTGGAAGCCTAAAACCAATTACTGAAATGATACTAGATTCAGCCTCTGGCTAGCCAAAATCTTCAAACTTGGAATTGTGTCCAGATTCAGCCTCTGAAAGCCTAAAACCAATGTGTCTCCCTTCAGAATGGTTCCGGTATCATCCCACCGGCGGCCAAAACAACATCAGTCTCTCCGTGTGGTACCGGATGCAACCTCCGGATAGTAAGCAATCGACATCCATCAAGTTGTTTGAATAGTTCACTTGGGGGGGCATCCATACACCGCTGGGATTCCAACCCGGGTCTCTCTTGAGCCATAGGGATGCAAACACCACACCTCGACACTTTTTTAATCGTGCCGCCAGGAATTCAACCTGGGTCTCCCATGTCCCACGAGGATACTAGCACCGTACTACGGTAACGGATGTCGGGGATGGGATAAACACTAAGGCCCCAAGTCTCCTATCATCCCCTTTATCGAAGACTCGTTTTAACCTCAGCAAAAACCCAAACGAGTCAGGTATAACCCCTGACAAGCCTCCACTCGTTTCGAGGAAAACCATTCATCAGAAGTTTTTATTCCAAGTCCTTTTTCCATTTCAGTTTTTCGGAGAGAGGCAATATCAACATACATGTTTCAATTCACATTCACAGCAAATAAAATGATTTTTCATGAAGTTTTCAATCGATCAATTCATCCAGTTTTGCAAGAAATGCAGCACCACAATACCAATTTAATAATGAACAAGAATTCAAAGTGAACGACCAATGTTCCTTTTAGAATTTCAAACTTGCACCGTATGGTCAAAATACATCCAACTGATTTACTTTATTAGGTTCCAGTAGAAAATTTTGTTGACAATGCCCAACATTTCTCATATCAAGCCAACTGAGTCAAAACATGGAGTCAAACAGATTCAATAACAAAAGCTTCAAAATATATATATATATGGATATATATAATATAGGTATACATATATATATAGCCTTAAAATTATATCACGGCTCCAATCTGGTTTCCTCTCTAAGAACTGGGCAATCTCTAGCCTTATGACCCGTTTTCTGACAGACGACTCAGAAGGGAGGTCCCGATGATGGTGTCCTCTCCGTCCTTAGAGAGTTCGTCCTACCAATCGACCTAGACAGCGGAGGACTAAGAACCCTCCTCAAAACCTCGCTACGTTGTTCCGTACTAAGTGCATTTTCCCTCTCTCAGGCTGAGGAATCGTCTTTGGCAATCTTTGTCGGTTTCTCTTCGCTGGACAATGTGACCCTTTCTCTCTTGCTTCCAACAATTACGCCTTCCTGATGTGCCGGCCTAGCAACCTTCATGGACTCCGACACTCCGTCCTTTCTTTTCTCCTGCGACAAGCTTCCCTTCTTGATTACCAAGAACCCTGTCTTCGACTGTTGTGAAGGTCTGTCATCCAGAGATTTCCTCTGAGTACTCCTCGAGGCAGGCTCAACCACTTTCTCCTTCCCTTTTACAGAGGCTGTGGTTGGCCGCGATCCAGAATATTTCCTTCCCCGTGCCCCTTCAAGGCGGGTAACACGGCGATCCAACTCATCGAGTCGTTCAATGATACCTGTAATCGATGTGTTTCCGGCCCCAGCCTGAGTCTTTACAGGAGGGATTTGTATCATGGCTTGGTTGCTCTTTTCTTCCATACTTCCAAAGTTAAAGGTATCTCTCATGACCGCAACGAATTCGGCCCAGTTTCCTGACGCCTCTGCAAAAATAGCAACAACGGGTCTCCAGTATTCGTCCGAGTACCGAGCCACTTGGTCTCTCATCTGATCCTCAGTCCATTGTTCCTTATTAGCGAGTTTCGTGAAAAGATCAATGAACTCTTCCACATTATCCCCTATGAACAAAGGAACTCCCTTCTCTTGAGCTGCCAATCTCTCGGATAAGCGAGCGATCGCAGCCCGTACCATCTTCTGAACCTTGTCTTGGCGAGAGCTCGATGCCATCTCGAACTGTACCTTCACTTCCCCTTTCCCTCCCTGTCGCCACAAGGACAGTCAGAAAAGAAAGAAAGGAAACCCATCAGTTTTCACTGAAGGCACGACTCGATTGACTAAACAAATAATCACCAGACAATGACGCAGAAATGTATTCAACTCAGGCAAAAGCGTGTCGATCCTTACCTCATTCAGACCCTCTATATGAATTTCTTCAACTTCGATCCTGAAACCCAATCCCGTCTTCGAGCTCCGTTAAGTTCTTCGACCTCATACACTCCGTGTTCCGATTTCTTGAGGATGCGATAAGGTCCCAGCCACCTATTATCCAGCTTCCTCGACCATTGTTTTTCCAACGAAGAGTCATAGAGAAGAACAACATCACCGACTTCTAAGGGTTCCTTGTGGACCCACGGCTGTCTGTCCCATCTCTCCTTGTCTTCCCTTCTACTTGCTGCAGTCGAAGCGACGACCTCTTCAATCCTTTCCTCCGTGGCCATGATCTGTCTGGCCCTTAGGTCGAGTAGCTCTTCCAATGAGAGGTTAGCCTCTAAGTCTTGCCTTTGCCATGTTGTCAGGAGACTCTCAATCGGAAAAGTTACGTGTCGTCCAAACCAAAGAGTTGCCGGAGCATACCCAGTCGTCCTTTTCACGGTGATATTTTCGACGAACATCCGAAGGTACACTGGCCACCTAGAAGGTTTCCTAGCACACCACTTAACCAACAAGTTTGTGAGGGTGGAGTGTCCCCGCTCAACGGAGCGTTTGCCTGCGGATGCGCCCTCGTGGTATATCGGTACTTAACGCCGAATCTCCCTAGGAGAGTTTAAACTTCTTTCGCTCGAAACTCACCACTGCGGTCCATCACGATTTCGCGGATGAAAGGATACCGAAGGTAGTATTCTTCGATACACCCAGCTAAAACTTTTCCGGTCCTTTCTCGTATTGCACAACCGTCGACGAACCCTGTCAGATTATCTCTTGCGTCAAAGATAAACCGATACCCATTCATTCCTAGCGGCATAACCACCAAGTCGAGGTGCACCACGGCTTCAGGTTCAGCAACGTACCGTGGATGAAGGGGTTCGGCATACTTATAGTTGGAGCGTTCTTGACAAGGAACGCACGAACTGCAGTAATCCGTAACCATTTTACTCATACCATCCCAGAAATAAAGATTTCGTACCTTCTGGAACGTCACTCGAGCCGAGCAATGCCCTCCTGCAATCCCATCATGGAGAGCTGCAATCACGTCTAATTATCTCGTAATTCCACAAACGACCCTTTTTGGAATGTCGTCCTCGCTCTTCTTGAATAGATGGTCGTGCCTAACCACAAACTCTTCACTTTTCCGACGAATGTCACCCTTCATACCTTCCTCACGTATCTCCTTACTCAACCATAATCCGATCTCTCTCTATATCCCATCGTACTCATTTTCCCTAAAGGCTTCTTTCATCCTACCGTCCTCATCAGCTAGTACCAATGTCCGCAAATCTTCCTTAATTAATGCGTTGATCACAAAACATGTCCCGCTAGATACTCTGAGGACCTCATCGGCATGTCGGAAACCTTCTTGAATTGACAAGGGGTCTTCCGACAGCCGAACGGAGTCAGAGAGTGCGAGGCTCATCATCTGCTCACCGGACCTCTCACCCCATGGATCCTCCTTGACAAACGACTCTTCTTTCACCAGCTCAGGACGAACTTGATAAAAGTTGGGAGCGTTCCATATAGACCTCCCTTGTCGGCAAGACGCATCAACCAGACAATGGTAAGAATTTATACTTAGCTGACCTTCCTCGATCTCCAGAAATCCGTCAACAGGCACAGAGTCCTCTGCTCGGACCTTGGAGTTGTCCCAGTCGATTCTACTTAGACCGTCTGCCCGATTCTTCATGCTGGCTATCCTCTCGACTTCAAAATCGAACATCCAAATGTACGTAAGCCATCTTGCGATCGTCGGATCGGAAGGGGAATAATTTCTTAATGACTGAGCCAAGGCAGTCGGATCAACCCTTAGGACGAATCTCCGATCGAAAACATAATTGCGAAAAATTCTTAGGCAATGAAGCACTGCTAAAGTCTCTCTCTTGAACTGGGAATAGTTTCGCTCCGTAAGGTTGAGGGTTCTACTTTCAAACCTTAACGGACGCTCGACCCCGCTCCCGTCCTTCTGAATAAGGACCCCTCCTAGAGCCGTAGGTCCTGCATCGGTTTCAATACTGAATGGTCGCTTTGGGTCGTTATCGAAGCATGGAACCCCGAGCACCATTCCTCCCTTGCGAAACTCAACCTTTATGTCCTCAATAACTTTCTGTTGGTTCGGTCCCCATTCCCAATCTGGGCCCTTACGCACGAGCTTGCGTAAGTGCTCCATCCTTGCAGCAAAATGTTGGATGAAGATCCTCCAAAACCTACAAGTCCCGAGAAAACTCCTTATCTCAGTAACAGACTTAAGCGGAGTAGGCCACTCTAAGATCTTATTCGTTTTCTTGGTATCCGGCCGACGACTTTTCTTGTCGCATAGGAATCCCAAGATCGTAGCCTCACTCATGCAGTGTCTAGATTTTACTCCACTCGCCGTGAGATTATACTCTTTTAACTTAGCCAGAACTTTCTTGATGTCATGAATGTGATCCCAAACGAACTTACGTATGCCTGGTTTCACTTCAGATTCATCCTTCTCCCTTGGGGCTGGAATCGACAAGTCATCGATATATGGTGAGGTCACGTCCGGACAAAGCAGTTGCATAACCTTCATCATATATCGTTGCACGATTGCGACGGCATTAGTCCAACCTTGAGGTGCAGAACACATGTGAACCAGCCCCCTAGGCATATGCATTGCCGTCATAGGTCTATCAGCCGTGTGTGTACAAGGGAAACTGATCATAGCCAGAATAAAGATCAATCAAGGTGATGATGGGTCTTCCGACGCTAGCTTCAGACAATTGATCCGCGTTTGGAAGTCCACCGACATCCCGTACCGTCACCTCGTTCAATCTCTGCAAGTCTTGTACCCACCGTAAGACACCGTTAGGTTTGACAAAACAAAACCATGGGGACGCATATGGTCCATAGGAGTAGTCGACTACCTTCATCTTGATCTTCCCATCCAGGTAGTCTACAACCTTCCGATGGTCATCCGGGCTAGGGTAGCGCGGCCCCCTTATATTCCAAGGTTGGTGTGGTACCGTATGTATTCTAATCATCGGGATTTTATCAACGTCTAATCTTCCCCTCTCATCGTCATTAAAAGCATACGCCAAGTGCTCTTCCTTCATGACATCAATCATGAGGTTTTTCTCTTCCTTAGTCAGGAAGGAAGCCCTCTTCTCCAATGATTATCTCCTTAATTATCTCGTCAGTTAAACGACACGACTTTCTTTCACTTTTTTCTCTCATCGCCCTAATCCACTCTCTCTCCTCCTTGTAATACACTTCTTCGTCGTGGGTGACTAGGACGGGGACAGGCTTGGCTTTGTCAGCTACTTTCTTATACCGCCGCTTTGATCTAACTTTAAGTCTCCTTCCTCTAAAAAAGACCCTTGCTTGGCTTGTGGGATCACACCTTCCTCACCAACTGACTGGGTGTGAGGTCGGTATGTTAGGAATATACTCCCCGTGCCACCACCTTCAGACACAATCTCAGTTAGCGTCTGTACAAGGTTTCGGTCGATTTCAGAGTGGGTTGAAACGAAATCCAGAGCCTGTGAGACATCGCGAAGAGCTAAGGAAAACTCCCTCGGGTTCTCCCCATCGTCCTCCCCATATGACTCTTGTTCTCTCACCAATTGTTTTGCTTCCTCGAAGCTATAGGATTCAGGATTCAACCTGTTCCTCGGATTCTTAGGCCTGGTGTTCGAGCACTTGATCACCTCGAAGTGTCCACACACTGGATCGCACAGTATTATGAACATCGTCCCATCATGCTTATTGATGATGATGGACTTTTATCGGAATAAGAATGATCGTCCCAACATCACCCCATGCTCAACCAGTGGCAACATGTAAAAATAAGACCGCACCTTTACCTTGTCCATGTGTATACTGACGTTACTGGCAGTTCCACAGAAGGGTGTCGACCCTCCGGCGCCAACCAAAAATCCATTATCAGCGCGATCAATCTTAATTCCTAACTGTAGCGCCTCTTTTTCTCTTAATATATTCATCTCCGCTCCAGTGTCAACGAGCGTAAGATGTTGTGAAACACCTATCTTGACCATTACGTGCCCTGTCACTACACACCTCCAATCCATCTTTGCTCCCGCAGGAGTCCAATTTGCCTCAGGTGGGATTACCTCCCCTAGTTTAATCGTCACCACTTTTCGTCGAGTTAGTCTTTGCTTAAGCTCTTCCCGTATCTTTGGCGAGGCTGCCAAAAATTCCTTGAGTGTTACCAAATTTCGATGGCTCTCAAGTATCCGATCCACCATCTTCTCAATGTCGATCCCTTCCTCAGTTGAAATTGTGTACCGGTTCTTCTTCTTCTGATGCTCTTCCTCTTCTCCTTCATCCTTTTCCTTATCTTGATTCTCATCCAGACCTCGTTTTTGGGCGCGTAACCTTGCCTGACGCGCGTCCTTCGCCCTTAATTTCTCATCTTCCGTGTCCAAGTCTTCTTCGACGATTACTACCGGCGCCTCTTGTTGCGCCTTCGCACTGACAACGGGCGCGACTCGAGGTTGGATTCCCTTCTTAATCTTTTGTGCTTGAGGGACCGCTAGTGACGTTCCTCTTTGGAGGACAGGCCTGTTCAAGACGGAACGCGTTCCCGCAGAGGCCGTCTGAAGGTGGGACGATGACGGCTTCTCCGTACGTAATGTTGACAGAGACGCCGCCAAAGGAGTCATGCCCCTTCTCCCATCGTGTCCACCAAACAGAAACATATTCGGCATGCCAGGCCAAAATCTTTCCATGTCGAGACTCAGTCTCATAACTTGGCCTCCAAATGTCTCTAAACCGCTTCTCGAGCTTAAGGCTTTTCGCACATCCCTCTCCTTTTCTGTCTTGCCCTTACTAACATCAGACTTACTAACAATTGTCTGGCGTGCAACCTCTCTAGACTCAAGAATCTTCATTTCCTCTTTCGAGGTCAACCAGTAAGTGCAGGGCATGGTCCGGTTCATGCGTCGAAACGCTTCCTTCCTCATTCCTCCTTCTATGTATGAATCGATAAGGTTCCCTTCGAAATCGAACACCTCGCCTCGAATATTCGTGTACACAATCCGATCCTCCTCATCTTTAGCGAGGATCTGACAATATCGGACACCGTGCCCTTTTTGTGCGCAGTAGTTACAATTTCAATCCTTATTACCGTAACCGCGACCACCAGAAGCTCCCCGACCACGCTCCTTGCCTCCTCCGCCTTGCGGTCAAAATTGTCGGGGCTCGGTATCTTGAGCTTGTCTCTGATGCTGATTGATAGTATCACAATTATCATTCCCATGACCACTCTTATTCTTGGCTTGCTTTCCATTCGTACCTTGCCCTCCCCGTGTTTGATTCATGGTCTTTCGTTCGGCCTTCGTCGCTTTCCGAGGAGGTTCTTCTTCTTCTTCCTTTTCACTATCTTCCTCGTCGGACTCTTCTTCCCTCTCTTTTCCTTTTCTCTTGCCGTCTTGTTGCCTCACCGTCATTATCTTGCCACACAGTCCCTCCTTCCTCATTTCTTTCATCATCATACTAACATCTATAATCGCCCCGAACATCTCCTTATCCTTATCACAACTTACTAACTCATCCTCCTGCATTTTCCTTTGCCTGCGCAGGAGATGATAGAGCATTTGGTCGAAGTCACCGACCTTAAGATTCTCCTTGATCTTATCCCAGTCGTACCTGGTAGTAAAACCCTTTATCAATTCTCTTTTCTCGACTTCCGTAAAGTTGGTCAGAAAGATAATGCACTTCGTCTTATCGGGAAGATCGGTAACCCTCTTTGCTACCTTCTCAAACCTTTTTAGCAATCCTTCGATCGTCCCAAATTTCTCCCGACTCACTTTACGAAGGTCAGAGACATCCAACAATCCGTCTCCTAACTGGTATTTTTCCAACATTCGCTCACGGAATGTTTTCCAGATTCGTGTCCTACATGCCATCTCACCAACTTCTTCTGCAAGATCAACGTGCACATAGCGTTTTACTACTTCCAACATTTTCCATTCAGTCCATTGACGCACATGAGCATTCAACTCATATTTTTCTAGCCAGTCCGTAACATTTTCCCCATCGAATAGAGGAACCTTGATTTTCAGAAACTTTTCATGTGGCTTGGTGGTTTGTCGGATAAGCCTCGCGAGTTCCTGAATGTCATTGCGCCTCTCGTCACCCAGACTATCGTTCTCAGCGAGGTTGGGGCTCTCCATCTTGAGTGAAGTGTCAGGAGGAACAGCGATCACAATCAAATACGCGAGTCATGAAAGATTTTTATCAAACTCATTGCATTATGCGGTTTCTGATCGATCGGGATGACCCATCCATGTTCAGTCATTATTATCTCACACTCTCTCAGTCGTACTAGGGTCATTGTCACGATAATGCCACTTGTCCTTTCGAGAGGAAACCAAATCACAACCGAACCGCTTAGTTAAGTAATAATACAAGGTAATTATTCGGGATTACCTTACCCGAGTGTCGTTCCACCAGGGACAACGGTACATAGCCGTCATCCCCGGCAACGGCGCCACCTGTCGAACGCAAACGGCCCCCCCTTCGCATCGGAGCGCATAAAGGGGGACCTCTCGGCCGCATCACGCAAGAGTTTGATACTTTTATTTTTAGAGTCGGAATGCTTCCCCAAAAATTCATCGAGGTGAACGACGGGGTTTTGCCGCTCCAGCCGGGTGCGCCAGTCGTACTTCTCGCGTTCCCCTACGACAGGTCAGGGTCCCGCGAGGCACAACTCGTCTTCCCTGAGGAGCTGTCACCATCTTCAGAGGCGTATCCCTATCGAGCTACTGATCTACATACGAACGTTTTTACATGCAATCGCAGAGGTAGACCAGCCAGGGGCGTTTTGCTCGATTCGCCGTAGTACAGACAATTCTTATAGGTGAATATAGAATGGTCCCATCGAAGTCACTCCTAGTCTTTCATACAGACACTTTCCGGAAGACAGTGTTATTGCAGCAGGAAATACACATATGGGTTGCATGAGACATTCAGACGTCGGAATCAAACATATGAACGTAAATAATCAACACATAAATAGACGTTGCCAACGACCACACGAAAATAGTAACCGAGTCACGCATAGATGTCGCATTAAGACACGAGAGCGTTACAACCAAACATTTTTGAAGTCGTTACCAGAAAGCACATACATGACAACCAAGGCACATAGAGATTGCAAACGAAGACATACAAATGCAGCATGCAGGTAGCGAACCRTCCCAAAAGGCGGAAAACAACAATCTTTTGCAAGCATGAGAGATTCGATGACAGGGAACATGCCTTTGTCTTCACTATCTCATAAAATTGAAAGGAAAGTTTTCAAGAGCGTTCCACAAGTGATACACGTTAAAACTAACAAGAGGATCACCTCCTTGATATCGTAGACGGCCACAATTTGCAGAGGCAGAAATTTACTGAATCAATTTTGCAAAAGCAACTCCCCGTTGTAGCGGTATGCCCCAAGACACTCTCTATTATTTTTCATGTGACTTCCCGCTATCCAAACCACTTGCGTCCCTCCTAGTACAGAGGCTATCGCCTAACTGCGAACGACCATCAATCTTAAATACATACAAAGGAAAGGAATAAAATTTATAAGYCGCCTTCGCCCCTCATCATAATACCTGCGAAATTTGTCGAGGGAAASTGATAATCATAGGGGCGGGCTGACCATGTTTYCCTGGTCGGCACTACTGAGTTTTATCATGTTTTAGCCCTCTCGAGGGCGGAGCCTGATGGTCCGATCGTAGGAGTCTAACTCGCTACCCTCCGCTGGACGGCTCTCTCTAGAGGGACCTATAGAGGGTGGACGACTCCTAGCGGTCGTAAAGCGTGTGAGTCGCCCGAGCGCGTCTGTCTAGCCGGGTATGCCGCCGGATGAACGCCTCGTTAATCGCCATCCTCCGCACTCGCCCTTGCCATCGTAGTCGTAGTTCGCTCGTGCTGTAGAGTCTTGCCATTCGTCGCGCCAATGTTAACAGGACGGACCAGAAAGGTACACCGAGGCGCTTAAGGTGTCGGGCGGAAGTGTCTCGGAGCCAAAGGAAAACCATTCGCGCTCCGGATCGTCTGAAGAGTACTCCAGCGGTGACTCGAGAGACAAGCTCCATGTTCGAGACACGATGAAAATACAATGTATGCCCCTGCAACTCATTTGGACGCCGAATCACGTTCGGTCGAATCTCCAATCGCTCTTCCAGAAGAAACCCACGTCCGTCGTTGACGATTCAGACAAAGCCGAGCCATCGAGTCGGAGTCCCATCGAACACCATCGACATCCTCTCCGCCCAGGCGATGCGGTCTGCATCATTTGTATCTCGAATCAGGAGATACCAGGGGATTGTCAGGTCGCGCCGAGCTCCAGCCATCCTGCATCACAAAGCGCCATCATCAAATACGAAAGAGTTTTAACAAATTCTCCTCCTGCCGCTGGAGGGCCTCATCGTCACATCTCTCCGCGACACGGAATCCGACATCATACAGTCCCACGCGATCATAATGCTCGATGTATATGAATGACCCCTGCCGAGCGTGGTGGTTCCGCATAATGCGTAGGGACAACCACATGATCTCGTCCTCGAACTTGCGGTGGATAGACTCGTTCACGACGTCGTAGACGACCCCGACGTCGAACCAATGCGTCTTCCTAAGGGGGCAGACGCCGACGCTTAGAACCAGCTTCATGGCCGTTGTCACAAATGCATAAATCCGTGGTGGGTCATCAAGGGTCCCTTGGTCTTCCCTAAGCTCCACCTCGGTCGGGAAGACGTCCGCGGGATCGAAGACCATGCGGCCGACTCTCGCCCATCCTTGCCTAAATCGTCCCACGGCTACAGCAGACGCCCTTGCCTCCGTCTTGCTTGGAAACAACATGATGGTGGCGACTGTCGCGACCCTTCGTCGCGAACTGCTCGAGGCGGCACCGCTTGCGGCGCCTGTGTTGTCTGCTACCCGCGCCCCCATTTCTCCGACTGGCCGCCTCACTCCCTTTGCCAAGGTTCGGCACGATAGGGGATGCAGGCCACAACGAACAAACTTTCGTCGTCCTCTTAGAAAAGGAACCGGCGGCGCAAAAACCTTGTAGTGAAGTGAAGTATACGAGAAGCTGTGCTACTTATATAGAGCGACGTCAAGCGTGTGCAGGCTAAATGTAGGGCAATTTCTATCGCTGCTTAGTTTCACAAGGCCCAGAGGAGTTGGAAGCTACCCATCCTTCAGTGGTGCTCCTCAAGCCAGACGAGGTTGCTAGGTGCATGCTTATCGGAGCTATTCCTAAGCGCCGGATAGTTCAGAAAAGAAGGCAAAAGAGGTAAAACAGTGGAGCCTTGCCGACCCGTTTCGCCGCGTCCTACAATTCTTGTCGCGGGTAATACATGAGGGTCGCTTCATAGTAATGTAACGGACGACCCACATCGTTNGGTCCCTTGGTCTTCCCTAAGCTCCACCTCGGTCGGGAAGACGTCCGCGGGATCGAAGACCATGCGGCCGACTCTCGCCCATCCTTGCCTAAATCCTCCCACGGCTACAGCAGACGCCCTTGCCTCCGTCTTGCTTGGAAACAGCATAATGGTGGCGACTGTCGCGACCCTTCGTCTCGAACTGCTCGAGGCGGCACCGCTTGCGGCGCCTGTGTTGTCTGCTACCCGCGCCCCCATTTCTCCGACTGGCCGCCTCACTCCCTTTGCCAAAGTTCGGCACGATAGGCGATGCAGGCCACGACGAACCAACTTCCGTCGTCCTCTTAGAAAAGGAACCGGCGATGCAAAAACCTTGTAGTGAAGTGAAGTATACGAGAAGCTAGGCTACTTATATAGAGCGACGTCAAGCATGTGCAGGCTAAATGTAGGGCGATTTCTATCACTACTTAGTTCCACAAGGCCTAGAGGAGTTGGAAGCTACCCATCCTTCCGTGGTGCTCCTCAAGCCAGACGAGGCTGCTAAGTGCATGCTAATCGGAGTTATTTCCTAAGCGCCGGATAGTTCAGAAAAGAAGGCAAAAGGAGTAAAACAGTGGAGCCTTGTCGACCCGTTTCGCCGCGTCCTACAATTCTTGTCGCGGGTAATAGGTGAGGGTTGCTTCATAGTAATGTAATGGACGGCCCACATCGTTGAATTCCTAATGCGTAGATCGCCTAACCGAACAAAGGAAGACAAAATCAATGACAAGATCCCTCCCTTGTGAGCCTCGATCGACCAAGGATCTTATGAACCAATAAAAAAAAAAAAAAAAAAAAAAGAATATTTGAGTCTTTCATAGGCGGAGCGTCTCATCCGCAAGACCCCAGTCCTCGTTGGACATACAAAGCTTTTGCTCACATGCCTGCAACAAAAGTACAAAGTCAAGACATATTACAAGGGTAACACTTCCTTTTTCACGTTTGAGCTTACACAAACCAACCTTTTTTTCTTTCAACTGAATATTCAAGGAAATAGAAATAAGGCAAGCAAAAGTGTGGTTTAACGTGGGGAGTGATGGGTCTGAGTCATTAACTGACCTTGAGTGAAGTGTCGCTGATGCCGACCGGCTCACCCAAGAAAGCCAAGTTGAATCTTGAATATCAACCACGCTCCAAAATGTTTTGAATAGAAAATCATCAGCGCCGTGAAGCTCAATAATTATTGAGTGGTATTTGCTTGCTCTGGTAACTCCCACAAGTGATGAGTGGCACCTCGGTTCTAAATTGGTCCCGCCGGGCCCAAAGCAATGGAAGTTGCCGACGCACTCCAAAATAAATCCCTTGGCGTCAAGGTGTTTAAGGTCCAATCAATAGGACCGTCGATGTGGCGCAGTCCCGAATGGTCCCAATAGTGTCAAGGACCGACACCAAGGGTTCCACAATGCCAAAACGTCAAGGACTTGCGCCGTTCTTGTTACAAAAAAATTCCCCTTGTGTCGTACCGCCACAAGTTTGCACCGGCGTTTGCCTTGAGCATGTGCCGCAATCGGCACCTCCTTCGGACCACGACGACACACTTGGAATGCCACACAAAATTAATTGGTGCTACCGCCTTGAACCGCCAACAAGCGGATAAGCGATATCGTCGCCTCGTCGCGCCGCAACCCGAGATCCTCGCTTCCAAAATAAAAGACACCGCCTCAGTGTCAAAAACCAGGCCCAACGGCGGTCCCACGACACTCTCACAAAATTATCTCGACGCCCACGTACGACAAGGCTGGTAACGCTCCTCCGCATGTGGACGTAGTCTTGCCGCTTGATTACTCCGGTAGCATGCTCTCTCACGTCGGCCACGTCCAAGCTTAAAAATAATAAAATCCGACCCTCGGCCGAAGCTAAGTCCAAAACGCCGCTCCCTTGAGTCTTGGAGGTGAGTTCCCGCTCCAACGGAGTGGCCCCTAGCACATGTGTCGCAGGTCCGGTACCAGCCTCAAGGTGGTAGCAAGGTGCCTTCACCTTGTGGCTATGGTGGCTCCTCCTCCTTCTCTTGGCTCCAACAACTCCTCTAGTAGATTCCCAGCAGCACTCCCTAAGCACTCCTGCAACTCACAAATGCCTTAGAGTGTGCGACCACTCCTACGGCACGTGCTCCTTGTGTGGCAACTTCTGGGCATTGCCTGTTTTTATAGTCGAGTTGGAGAGTGTGCCTCGACACTCTAGCCCTTAGACAATAATTCGAGGTGGAGAGTGTGCCTCGACACTCTAGCCCCTAGGCAATAATTCGAGATGGCCCTGGACCCTCGATTTTTTGTGAGATCGACGGTGTGACGTTGTCGCACCGCAGCCGCACACTTAGTGCAACTGACTTTGACTATTCCTCCTTTCTCTCGTTTTTTATCTATTGAAGGTTAGTTCAATTAGTCATCTCGATATTCTCACGAGATGGCTGACACTGTCTCATTTCTGAAACAGTTTTTCTTTTATTTTTCTGACCATTATTGTAGGAGTTATTATGAGTTTTTAAAGTTTGACGTACCTAGCTATTTTTCCCAGTGCTGGTACGTCGGGGAAAGGCTGAACTTAGTTCCCTATTCAGCCTCCCTCCTCCTATTCCTTTGGGGGATGCCCAACCACGAGATTCACTGATCTCAATGGCGGGAACCACACCATAATTCCTTTTGGCCCCCCTCCCATGTGGTAGTGTCTTTTCCCGACACTCAACCCCACCCCCAGGATCAGAAAGATCTAATGTTGGGGGTGCTGAGTCTGCAAGGAGCCCATGATGGCTCAGCTGAGGCCAAAGGGGACGGGTCATCATGACCACTTCTGCCCCAGCCGTAGCCACGGCCTTCACTGTGGCCCTTGCAAGACGAGAGTGAATCTTCTGCTAGGACACGGTAAAATGCACCCCCCATCCCCTCCTTCAGACTGTTGTGAAGTCTGAATGAACCTTTCCGCAGGTTCGGGAAGGTGCATAGCCTTAGTGGTACCAGCAGCCACAGGAAAACCTGTGGGTGTGGGGACATGTTTTTCCTTAGGGCGTAACCCTACCTAGTGTGCAAAAGGGGAGTAAATCTTCTGCTAGAACACGGGGACATACACTCCAACCGATATGGGCGGCCATAGGAAAACGCGAATGATTAACAACGAAAATAATAGAAAAAAACAAACAGAGATCCGATTAAAACGGGTCCTGTTGCAGCCCTGCTGAGTCAAAGTTCTGCGCGTCATTTTCCCACACGCCATCTGGTATTTCTTAGTTTGTCTATTTTCTTTTTGTTTTTCTTTTTGTCGTTTTAGTTTATGCTTTTCTCGTATCTTCTTCCTTTAACGCGCTTTTTCCTTTGCTATCCCACGGACCGCGGTTCAAACCCCCGTCGCACGGTTACGATTTAGGAAATTTTGAATTGCTTTTTCTTCTTAGTTTTGTTTTCGCTCTCCTTCGTTCCGCGTGCCACGGCTCGAACCCTCCCCTGCTTCCACGCGATCCACATCGAAGGGAAAATTTTGGAGTCGTTCAGTATTGCGGAAGTTCAAGTCGCGCGGAGAGCCTTGGCCGCGGGATTCCCTAGATCGTGCGGCGGATTCAATGCTCGCCTTTGCCAGGTGAACTCGCGTTGCGCCCTGCCTCTGTGCAAAGAAAAGATGTTAGTCCACTGGTTCGGGCGCGAGTGGGCTCGATCCATGCGCCAGGCGTGTATCAATCCGCCCCTGAAACCTATCGGGCTAGGCCTTGCCATGGTGTAAGGGGGAGCGCTGCCGATATTTGTCTTGGCAGGCGCGGTGCTCCGCCATTACTGTCAAGGTGTCACCCCCTCGTACTCCGTGGTCCTACTCAAAAGAAAAAGGGAGCTAGCCCGGCGGTCGGAGGCGGTGGGAATCGATCCATATGTCTCCTACTTGCCATCCTACCTTTAAACCTACTGGGCTAGCTCCTACCACGATATATGGAGGGGCTCTACCGGTATCTGAAGTAATAAGCGAGGTGCCCCGCCTGCATTTTCGCTTCGCCTTTTCCTCGTGCTCCCATTTTCCTCTTACCTGCGGCTTCTCCTTACGTCGCCACACTACTTGACTAGCCCAACCGGGTAGTAGGGTGAGTACGTATGACGCAAGCGCGAGGTTAGGCTTTTACCGGTAGTTTTTCCTAGATAAATTTTTAACTTCAGCCCTTAGCTTTCCCCTTCATCGCACCATTCCGAGCCATTGTCCGAAGCGTTCGTTTTCAACTATCAGGCTCTGAATCGCGCAGCCGATTCCTTTTAGGTTGTCGCGCATTGTCCTAGTGGTAGAAACGTTGGGAAATGATTGATCCCGATGCGCCTACCTTCGTGGTTTCCTGTCATATTACTTGGACACCCGCTTAGCCTAGCTAAGCATGACGCACACACATGGCGTAGGAGCAGGGCTGAGTCTTATAGGAATTGTGGTAAGGTAGGTCCTCTTTAATAACCCCTTCATATAGGCCTTTAATTCGAGCGTCCCCTTTGCAGTCGTGCTTCAAGCATTTCTAACGTTGGTCTTTTTCCTTCGATGGACCCTGAATTGCGCGGCCGATGGGCCGCGCGGCGACCTTTTGTTTAGGTCGCCGCACATTGCTTCAATGGTGGGGGCGAAGGGGAATGGTAACCCCGACGTCCCTGTCGTTGCGGCTTCCTTCCTTTAGTAGTTTTCGTCGCGATATGTCTTTGTAG